ATATTAGTTTAAAGTGTCAAAATTATCTTTATACAAAAACTTAGAAATTAAATATTTTCCTAGCAAAATGTAAAACCAATAAGCATAAAAATTGATGAATAAAAATGGCATTGTAAAAGAAGAAATTTCCGAGAAAGTCACAATCTAACTCATTTTCTTACATATAATGCCATATTTGTGTTGATATGTTGGTTTGATTTATGAAGACCTATCTTAGCATCTAATTTAGTTGTCCTTTAATTTGGCAATTGCATTACTCAGTCCACTTACTAAGTGTTCGATAGTTGTGCTTTAAAAGTTATTTTTGTTAATTAGATAAATCAATAGGATTAAATATTTAATATAAAAAGTTCTTTCTCTTACCACATTTTATTAAGTAGATTTAAAAGCTTTTCATATTGTACGAGATGATCATTAATTTCACTATGATGGTTTTGTAAATTGGAGTTCGTTTGATTTTTGTAACATAAATCTTCCACTTATTGAATTTAAGACATAAAATTAGAACTTCATGTTTGACAAAGAATTAAAATATAATAGTATTAGAATTATCTCTAAAGGAGGATAGACTTAAAATGCTTCCAAATGTTGGGCCCGTGTCAAGCACGAGCCTACCCTCACCTAGTCCAAATAGAAGGATCAAATTTTATTTAGTGCTTTTGCATCCTAAATTAGAAAAAAGCTTCCGTTTGACCATGGATTTTGGCTATATTTTTTCAAATATTTTTTGGAAACATTGTTTGTTTATGGAAAAAAAATTTAAAAAAATTTCAAGTTCCCAGAAACTGGTTTAGGGCAGTTTTTGGGTGAAATTTTTTCGTCCACTCACAGGACTTCAAATTTTCTTTCAGATAAAATGCATGTCCAAACACAACTTCAACTTTCAAAAATTATTTTTCAACACAACTTCAGCAAATCTTTTTTCAAGTTTCAACCAAATCTATGTCCAAACGCTAGCTTAATATCCCATTTTGCAGAATCAAGAGGATCCCAGAATTCCTAAATCCAAATATCTCAATCCAAGACTTCAATTGCTCCCAAAAAAGTAGTACACCTTTGAGAAGTTATATAGGAATTTTAGCTAAAATCATCACCGAATTATATATAGAGGGCAAAATAAAATATTGAGAGAAGTTAAATAGAGGACATTCACTTCATTTCAGTCTCATATCAACAGAATTATAGTAGTACTTCATTCCAAGATAGATTATAACAACATCAAATGCTATAAATATATCACTGCTAAAACTATTATATATAATGCTTTTGAAAATTAACACTCATAAAATTTCAAGGTTGACTATGACTTTTAAGGAAGCTAAGAACAAGTTGATTGACTTCCTCTGGAAATTGCTCTTGAACAAAATGAGTTCCTACATGAATAAACACTATCTCTAAATTTGGTACAAAATCCTTCACCTTTTCAGACCTTATGTACTCTTCCATACCTGGAGCTTTTAAGACATAGTCCTTCTCTCCCATTATCAGCAGTGCTGGAACATGAACTTTTGGATTAACTGGTAGTTTGTTTGTTTGTTCTCCGTATGACCTAAACAAAAAGAAAAATTCACATAAGGAAAAACAAAGGATGTAAGGAAATTTAAGATATTCAAAAAGATGAAGTGGCTAATTACTATACCAAATATCTTAATTGTACCTTATGTTACACTTTGTGACCATTATAACTTTGTCGTTAGCAAATTGTCTTGTCTTTACACTTGGTCCTAATGGACCTCCAACTCGAAGTATAGCTATAGGTAATTTTAAATCATAGTCAAAAGTAAAGGGGTATTTGGACATTTCTTTGAAGTATTTTGATACGTGGGCAGGGCAGTCCGGTGCACAAAGTATCCGATATTCACGTAGGGTCCGGAGAAGGGCCGCATTGCAAGGTGCGCGATGTAGACAGCCTACCCTGATGCAAGCATTAGTGGCTGGTTCCAAGGCTCAAACCAGTGACCTATAGGTCAGACAGAGATAACCTTACCATTGCTCCAAGGCTCCCCTTCCCATTCATGATGGAGCACCGTTATTAGGGCAGCCCGGTGCACTAAGCTCCCGCTGTGCGCGAAGGGTCAGACCACAAGGGTCGATTGTACGCAGTCTTACCCTGCATTTCTGCAAGAGGCTATTTCCACGACTCTAACCCGTAACCTCCTTGTCATATGGCAGCAACTTTATAGCTACCCCAAGGCTCCCTTTCTATGGAGCACCGTTAAAGTCGAGAAAAATATAAGACAATTTGCTAATTAACGACAAGAATATGGATAGCTAAAAAGTATAACGAAGGATACAATTAAGATATTTTGTACAACATAGTACATTTTCCCATTACTTTACGGATGGCAAGTTTGGTTTGTGCTTCCATGTATTTTAGAGAGCTTATTACCACTATTTATAAGTAAACTGGCTCTTACCTATAAGGAACCTTCAATGCAGTTCTGAATCCAGACTTCTCATATAAAACACAATAAGTTTGAAGATCCTGTTCTGTAAACCAAGGGGGTAAAGGAGTTGATGAATCCACCATATCCATGATTTCCTGCTTTTCATCGGCTATTGGCATTTCACTTCTAGAGAAAAGGATGTAAATGTTTCTTACAACTGTTTTAACATCAAATCTACCAAAATCGGCTTCTGCTCGTCTAGGCTCCTGGATTAAAAAATTACTGAAATAAATCAACAATAACAATAACAAACCCAATAAATTCTATCAAGTGTGGTCTGAGTAGGGTAGTGTGTGCGCAAACCTTACCCTTTCCTGGGAGGGCAAAGAGGTTGTTCCCATTAGATCCTCGGCTAAAGGAAACATAAAAAGAATAGCAGTGGTAACAAGCAGTAACAATAATAAGATATAAAGAAAATCGAAGCGAAAGATAGCAATCGAACAGTAGGTTGCAATAGCAATCTAAAATTACTGAAATAAGGTCAAAAGGCACCAAGAATTGAGACTTTTTAAGAAAGCACACAGAGAAATCAGTAGCATACTCTCCATCTATAAACATAGAAGCCCTCAGGGAGTGGTTATGATTCTTAAGAGGACTCCCGACCGCGAATAGGACGCCTATCGTTACAAATCCGACAACCTTCTCCTCGTGGAAAAGGATAAAGGAGGAAACAACAGCAGCTCCAAAATCTTTAATTATTAGAAAAACCTGCATAAATGTGCCCACACACATGAATTTTTTGAGAAAAACTTGAGAGCAGGATAAGAAAGTTGAGTTCTATTTGTTATTCAGTCTATAACCTTAGCTGACAGGTTACAGTATGGGATCGAATTTGACCGACCACGTCCTTAAGCCAGCACGACCGACCGAATGTATGTGAGTCCGACTAGAAGGGCGACCTATGAATAACGAGAGGGACGACTTCATGATCACGTCGGCCACTCCACAGCATGTACTTTATTTTCTGTCTTTTAATATTCAAGCAAGGATCCTCTATTATATAAAGAGGGATCCAAGCATTGTAAAAGGGGGATTTTTCATTATTGGAAATACATTAACTCTCTCTCTTCTCTCTCTAACATTATCTCTCTCTTACCTTTCGAAGATTGTCACCTTCTCTTATTTCTCCGATTTGCACCATTGCTATCTGATCCTATACTCAAGATCATCCTAGGGTTTATTATCTTCAACTACGATTTACCCCTTCATCTATATTGATTGATTTGCTTAAAAAGTATTAAACAACTTTTGAGTCAAACAATTTGGCGCCGTCTGTGGGATTTCGGTAGTCGAAATCATAGTTCACAACTAGGATATTAAAAACAACCATCGCCGTTCTTCAGACCTCATAGAAACTAACAAATGGCAGATAAAGAATCAAGGTTGAAGATGATAGCAGATGTCTCAACCAACCTCATAGGCCCACTCAACGAAGCCAGTAGAGAAAATACCGCGAATGTAACACCAAGTAGCATACCGGAGGGGGAGATCTCACCCTCTTCACTCGAAGATCTAACAATTTTGCATGAGAGAGGGACTTCTACATCTGCAGCAAAGGAAACGCCCCCAGTAGTCAAAAAGCTACTAGAGGAATGGTTGACGAACACTCTAAGTAGCATGCTCG